GGTCCGGGAGGTCTTTCAAATATCACGGCTGCAGCTGTCTTTAGGGAGGTCTGGCATTTTCTGCAGCAGTGGCATCGAGCGCGCGCGGTCTTTATGCCAGGGGTGGCCAGACGCTCCGAAAGCGTTCATCTGGATTTTCGACGTTGATGTGGAAGAGTTTTAGGCTGAGTGCGCGGAGAAAGCATGGGGCGTCAATGTTGGAGGGGCATTTTTCGGCATCTTGTGCTTTGCAGGTAATTTCTGGATCCTTGGAACTCCCTTCAACATGCTGCAGGGTATGGTGCAGTCGTTCCTAGACAGATTATGCTGGGCTGGTTGGTCTGTCCCTCTGGAGGAGTGTTTCTCGTGTGCCGCGGCTTCAGATGGCATCCCGATTGCGCTAACCGTCGGTGGCCGCGGCGTCAGGCGAGCAGCCCAGAGCGAAGGTTTCAAAGCTCTCGGGGCCATCACCACTTTCGACAACTCGTTCGAGAGAGGGTTGGAAACCAGGATCTGTGAGGCGTGGGGGTGCTACTTCAAGTGCAGGGCTTGGCTCATGCACAGGTGGGGGTCGCTCAAGAAGAGTCTGCAGCTGCTGGACTTGACTGTTAAGCTCGCGCTCCTGTGGGGAGCTGCCGCTTGGACCCTGGACGTGCATCAGGAGAGGGTCACTGTCGGGGTGCAACGTAACATGGTGCGTCATATTTTGCGTGTCCCAAAGCTTCAGCAGGATACCGTGGCCCAGTGCATGCACCGCTGTAAGGGCCTGGTTGCACGAGCCATGAATCAGTTTTGCGTGGGGTCGGTGGTGTAAGCTTGGAGAAACAGCAGTTCGAGTGGGCCAGGAAACTGGTGCGCCAGAGGCTCGAAGAACCGGATCGGATACCTTTGAACGTATTGCATTGGCGGAGTATCTCGTCGTTTCACAAGTTTGCCGGGGCCACTGGTGGCTGGCAGGGATATCCAAAGCGTTTTCATTCGTGGCGGTGGGACATGTACAGTTTCTTGTCGAAACATGGTTTGGCATGGATTCCTGTGTCTTCTGATGCCGTCGACCGGAAACAGCACTTGGACAATTGTTTCATCTGGCGTGGCGGACATCCCGCTGACTTTTCCATTGGTCTCACTCGATAGTTGGGACCTTCGACTTCGACAACTTGATCTTCCACATCTCCAGAGAACGTCGTGCAGTAAGCTGGTCAACGGCATGCTGTATGCAGGCTGTTCCCCGTGGATCACCAGAGCTTGCCGCCGCCGCTTCCTCCTCCTCCTCCTCCTCCTCCTCCTGCTCCTCCTCCCCCCTCCTTCTCCTCCACCGCCCCCTCCCCCCCCTCCTCCTTCTCCTTTTTCTCGTCCGTCCTCCTCCTTCCTCCTCCTCCTCGTGGCCTTTTCCCCACTTTGGCCTGTCCCCTCGGCTTTTCCCTCCCGCCCCCTCGCGTGGCCCTTTCTCTGCCCTCATGCGTTCCGTGCATCTTCAGGCCTCTCTTCGCACCCCACCTCGATCTCGTCGAGTCTCTCCTCCCGACCCCCTCCGCAGCCCAAGCACCCGACGCCGTGATCTGTCCACAATGTGGCTCCCCAGAGGTGTAGACCTCATTTGCAGGACTGGCCCCGGGGCCCAGCGAGGGCCCGCAGATGCCGAAACTTGCGAAAAAAACCTTCCGTCATTCAACGCGAGGATGTCAGGGAGGGCCACCTTTTCATCCCGTGTCGGTTTCTGTTGGTCCCGCGGGCCCGACAAAGGCATCCCAGAAGCCGAAAAAGGCGGAGAAACTTCGGGCGCGACGCTTACGGGTCTGGAGGTCTGAGCTTCTTCCTTTGGTCGACCCGCCCATCTTGGCCTATCCTCCCGCGTCGCGTCCGTCTTCGCTTATCGTGACTTGATTTCCTTGTGCAAGAATCACGGCGGAAAGGTTCTGCTCATTCTCGGCCTCCTGGGGCCCGCACTGAGCCCCAGGACCGTCACAAAACGACTCAGGATGGAAAGCTGGTCCTTGGGCTGGGGTCCAAACCTCTGGGGATCCATGCTGTCGCGATGTTGGGAGTCTGGGCGAGTGCCCTTTCTTGATGTCGCCTCCCCCTTTCCAGTGGTCCGCGTCGGCCGCCTCCCCGAAGCGCCCCCCAGGCACCCTCCTGCCGGGCTGCCGCCAGCGGGTCCAGGCGGGCGTCGTGAGTGGCGCAGAAGAATAACAGTAACAGTAGCTGCGAGAGGGGGCAGCGGGACTAGGTGGACTTCGAGAGCGAAAGGGACACAACGAAGTCGGGAGAGCACTAAGAGAGGAGCTAGGAGGACGAAGCAGAGGGAGACATGGAGTAGGACGTGGAGGAGGAGGAGGAGAGACGCAGGGGATGAGGAAGAGGATGAGGATGAGGATAAGGGTAATGATGATGCTGCTGATGAGGATGACGATGATGACGGCGACGAGGACGATGACGGTGACGGTGACGGTGATGATGATGACGATGATGGTGATGATGGTGATGATGATGATGATGATGATGTTGGTGGTGGTGGTGATGATGATATTGATGATATTGATGATGCTGATGATCATGATGATGATGCTGATGCTGATGACGACTATGATGACGATGATGCTGATGATGTCGATGCTGATGATGACGAGGCTGAGGGGAGGAGGAGGAGGAGGAAGAACATGATGAGGAGGCGGAATATAAGGATACGATGATGATGTTGATGAGGATGAGGATGCTGATGATGTTGATGATGATGATGAGGAGCAGGACGACGATGACGATGCTGCTGCTGATGATGATGATGATGATGATGATGATGATGATGATGATGATGACGAGGATGATGATTGTAATGATGACGATGATTCTGGTAATGATGATGATTCTGCTGATGATGATGATGATGATGGTCATGATGATGCTGATGATGCTGCTGATGATAATGATGATGCTGCTGATGATAGGGGGTGAAGCTGATATGTAGGAGGTGGAGGAGCTGGCAGGCAGGCAGACAGGCAGAAACAGGGACATGATGATAATGCATGATAATGCTGATGATGACGATGCTGATGGTAATGGTGATGGTGGTGGTAATGGTGGTGGTGATGAGGATGAAGATGAGGATGATGCTGATGCTGGGGATGATGCTTCTGATCATGATGAGGAGAATGAGGAGGAGCAGGAGAAGGAGGAGAAGGGTGCTGATGATGACATTGAGGATAAGGATAAGGATGATGATGATGCTGATGCTGATGCTGATGCTGATGCTGCTGCTGATGATGAAGACGATGATATGATGCTGCTGCTGATGACGATGATGATGCTGATTATGATGATGATGGTGATGCTCATGATGCTGATACTGCTGATGATGCTGCTGCTGCTGATGATGATGATGATGATGATGATGGTGACAATGATGATGGTGACAATGATGATGCTGCTGATGATGATGGTGATGCTGATGCTGCTGATGATGATGATGATGCTGATGATGATTATGATGATGATGATGAGCTGCTGATGATGATAGTGATCATACTAACTATGACGACGATGATGATGATGACGATGATGAGGGTGATGATGGTGATAACGGATCTATATCCACGCCCTCGCGGTCTGGATTCTGGGGCGTGATCCTGCGGATACGCAGTCACACGGAGCCGTTCCGCGCGGGGCATCCGCGAAAAAGCGCCACGTATCCGCGGGGTCGCGGCCCAGGGTCCTGGCCCGAGAGGCCGCGGATACGGATATGTTTTTCGCCCACCAGCAAGCTTACATCGATTGGGATCGTATCGTGGAGATGGTAAACGAGCGGCATGGTGAAAGAACAACCAACTTGGGCGCTGTGGCCAACAAGTTAGACCTGGGTGAGCGCAGCAGGAAGAAAGAGGGTAATAGAGAGAGAGAGAGAGAGAGAGAGAGAGAGAAACAAAAAGAGATGTAGGACAAGAAAAGAAGAGGCCCGCAAGGGCATGCTCAGAGTTCTCTCAGAACAGCTCGAAGAAGAAACAACGGCACACACTTTTTTTTTGGAGCTCCGCGCCGATTTCTCGGATTGGCGCCGCAGGCCCCCTGGCGGCGCCTCGGGCGCCGCCCCTGGCGCGCTTCGCGCGCCAGGGAGGGGGGGCCAAGCGCCGATCCAAGAAGTCCGCGCGTCGCTCCAAAAGTTTCCGTGCTCATGCAGGTTTTTTCTTCTTCTATTACGCCGCTGCCGTCGTCTGTGACGTTTCAGGAGGGCATCATGCAAGATAATCTGGGCCTCGTCCGCTTCTGTCGCGTGAGCGGCGGGCGGAGGGGTTGACCCCTGTTACGGCCGCGCCGGGCTGGCCCCCTTCCTTCGGATGCATCTCCTGGGAGGTCAAATTCTGGGGTTGCTCTGGTCCAGAGTCCGGTTTAATCCCGCTACATCTTGCTTAATCTTGGATACTCTGGCTTGATTTCAGTCGGGCATGTCCCTCTACAGGAGGATATTCAAAAATAAGCATACAATAGTCGTGACGATTATTTCAATTATTGTTTGGTTTTTTGAATATACTTTGGCTATTTTTAGTTGTTCGTCCAGAATCCACCTGTAGGAGGGCACGCCCGACCTGAGGCTTCATCCCGCTTGATCCGCGACCTAATCCGGCGTAGCAGCGCCCCAATGGGGCCAAAGCCTCCTTAATCCTCCCGACTGAGTCCTCCCAGTAGTTGTCTCCTACCCTGAGATCCGACGTTGCCACAAAAATTGCAGCACTGCAAAAAATCACGACTGGACCCCTAGGGACCCCAGCTTCCTGCGCCATTTTTCAGGCCAGATCCATCTGTGAGGGTCCCAGGGCCCGAGATCGAGCGAAAAAACGCCCGGCTCGAAAAAGGTGAGTCGCCAGGATCTCAGGGAAAGACCTCCCAGTAATTGCCTCCCAACCTTAAGTCGGGCATGTCCCTCTACAGGGGGAATATTGAAAAATAGTTAAGAAAATGGTACGGGGATGATTTTTCGGTTATTTTTGTCTGTGTTTGCGAATTTGTTGACCATTTCTTATTTTTCCGTCCAGAATCTGCCTGTGGGAGGACACGCCCGACATAATCCTAGCCCTCCCCCGCCAGAACCCCGGCGGGCCGTCGCGTCCGTCGGCCGGCCGGGGCCCCCCCCCCCGAAAGAGAGAGAGAGAGAGAGGCGCAGAGAGCTCCCGCTCTTGCCCTCGCGCCTCCTCCCCTGCCGGCCGCCGCCCCTCGCCGCCCGCGGGCCGACGCTGCGGTCAAGCAGTGGCGAAGCGTCCCGGCTCGCCTATAGCCCTACCAAATAATGTTCTAAGGACCTTTTGTGGTTTCCACGACATGTTCTTAGAACATTTCTGGCGGAGCCTGTCTTGTTTTATCACATCGGGTTCAGACGGGATGCTGCCCTTGCCAATATGACTGTGTCTCAATTCGTCACGAAACTTTCGGAACGCCGATGTAGTAAGTAATTCCCGGCATCCTCAGGGTTTCCTCGCGAGAGCGGGCGCACATCATGTTCGCATCGTGTCGACGCGGCGGCGACCCCAGCGCGGGCGTCCATGGCTGAACGCTGCCAGTAGCCCGGAGTCGGCCGACATCGAGCGATCTGCGCCATCGGAAAGCTGCGATCTTTCAAGGTTGAACAATCCGCGCGGTGTCAGAAACCAACGCTTAGCGGGCGCAGAACGGTGTAAGACATTTTTTTCCGTCGCTGGGGGCGCTGCCCCAGGGCGGCTGGAAAGTTTATACTTTGACGTGCCACCGTAAGGGTATAAACTTTCCAGCCGCCCTGGGACAGGCGCCCCCGACAGCGAACTAGTTCATTGCGAAGGCCTTACGGCCCATGCCGCCGACCCTGTAGGCAACGACGACGAAGACAATGGAGGTAGAGGAGTCCAAGCTGCCCTCAGATGGCTCGAAGACGGCGCCAGATGCCTGCAAGGTCGTCCGAAGACAGCTCAAGAGGCCTCCTCCAGGGTTCGGGAACGGCTCCAGAGAGTGCCAAGATGGGCAAAGAGCACCCTCAAGTGCCCCGAGGGGGTTCCAAGACAGGCGCCCCCGACAGCGAACAAGCTCATCTTATACCGCTCTTCGCCCGTGGAAGCGCGCAGGTCGTCACGACGCTCGGGGGAAGGGCCAGTTGAGGCAGCGGCGGCTCTCCCGTCCTGCCCGCTCGGCATCGGTCCCCGTGGACCCCTCCCGGGGACCTCGTGACCCCTTTCGCGAGGCGTGCCCAGCCGTGGCGACGAGGAGCGCCCGGGATGCCCGAGGATGACGGGAAGCGCCAGGGAGGGCCGCCGTTGTCTCGGCTGGCCCCCCTGCGAGACGCGTCACGCGTGCGGCAACATATTCAAGGGAGGACAAAAGCCACCCAGACCCCGACACTTGGCGTTCACGCGACGGCCCCCTGGGCGTTTCCTACACAGCCCTGCCCTGTTCGATTCCTTCCTCGGGTGCGCTTACTGAACGGCTTCGCTTGTCGGGGTGATCCTCACAGGCGGCCCAGATCAGAAGGTCGACCCTGCCAAATCAAGGGTAGCCTTGTGTCCTGTGTCTCGCGACCCATGCTTCCTACACTCCTGTGGCAATGTGGCCCTCGGAAGGGTCTTGTGTCCTCTCGCGTGTCCTGTCCTGTCCAATCGAGTCCGACTGAACGTGGGTATTTTTTTGCCCTCGAAATCTTGAGATTGTTTTTTTTCCCTGCCGCGCAACGGTCGTGACCTGGGCCCTCTCTCCCCCCCCGGGTAACGGCAACCATCGTGCGTAGGGGGGGCTGCTTTGACCCCCCCACATGCGGGTGCTCACGCGAATACTGTGCTTAGGTGTTCGTTTTGGGAACCTTCTGGGACCCACCCAAGGGAGCTGTTCGACTCCAGTTCGACCCCAGTTCGACTCAAGTTCGACTCAGATTCGACTCAGGTTCGACTCAGGTTCGACTGAGGGTGGACTCAGGGTCGACTCGCATCGACGAGCGTTCGACGCAGCTTCGACGCACGAGTGGAGCGAGTGTCTCCAGGAAGGTCACCAGAATGAGCATCCAAACTATGGTGATCGCAGCGCACTCCCGCCCCGACGTGCTCCACCCCGCCCCAGCGTTACCGTTCCCCGGGGCCCCAACCCCCTTCCTTCCCCTGGGCAACGACCACGACCACTAGCGGAAATAACAACGAAAAAGCTATCTCATGCTAATACCTCCCCAGATCTCCGACGATACGATTTGCTCAAGCGCGGCGTTTTTCCTCGGTATCTGCCCACGGGGCTCTTTATCGCGCCCCGGGAGAGTATCAAACACGGATCCAGAACGAAAAACAACACCTCGGGAAGGGGTCGGGAGCTCTGGGGCCGCGGATTTAAAAACCATATCGGAGGATGTCTGGGTCTTTCGCCCCCGTCACAAAACTTTGTGAGGCGATCGCGGGGTGCCCGAACATGATCCAGGTTTTCGCCGCAAAGTGCATTTTGCATTTGTTCGATGGCAGGGATGGTGGGGAGGGGGTTGCATTGGCCCTGGTTAGGGGCCGGTGGAGTGGGGGAGTCCAGCGCCAGTGCCGATCC